GCGGGTATCGGATAAGTACTGGTACCCAGCAATAATTCCTTTGACCAACGGGGTTCAACATATGTTGGCGTTGGCTTAGGCTTATGTTCAACATAACCAGAATTCTTCAGTTGATTGTCTATCTGATCAACCAGAGTAGGTTTCAAATCCTCATTACTGTACATCCTAGAACCGTTATAGTAAATCCCATCGGGTCTTCTTTCGAACTTAGTAGGGTCTGCATGTGGAAACATCTTCCTAAAGGCCCTCCAGTTCCAGTAATCCCGATTGTCATGATGTGGCTGCTCCTCTATGTTATTCCCAAAAGCGTCGTACATTAGTATATATAATGGATGTTATACCATCAGCACCTCCACTTTATCCTGATTTACCCAGGGAGGGACCTAACGAATTAAACGCTGAAAACTTCCGCTTGAATAAAGCAAATTTAATCTTGGCTTACTTAGAGGGGCAGGCAAAACACTATGAGGAGGTTAGGAAAAAGTATGCTAGAGCCCGAAGCACGCTACATAAAATCGCGATAACTTCCGGCTCCATGTCCGTGGCGTTAACAGGCACCGGCGTTGCTACCTCACTCACCGGACCTGGAATAGTCGTTGGCGTTCCTTTAGCCAGCGTTGGGGCCATTTGCGGCATCGTTTCCGCTGTTACGACAGGCATTATAAAGCAATTGTCCTGTAAGATATCCAAGCACGACACTCACATAGCCCTAGCAAAAGCAAAGGCTAACACCATCGCCGACTTGGTGTCTCAGGCTCTGCGGGACCGCCGCATAGACGACGCGGAGTTCTCTTTGATCCTCGCGGAGGAAAAGAAATACGGCGAATTAAAGTCGGGTAATAAAAAAACCATCGTGAAAGATCTTTCCGAGGAATCTCGCAAAAAGATCTACCAGGAGGCAAAAGAGGAGCTCCAAAGAAAGCTCGCTCAGTAGACATCTGCTTTGAAAAGAACGTAGGGGGATTTCATCTACACATTTCATCTTCTCGGAATCCATCCTAACAGGGGGTGGTTGGGGTCTATTTTGTAAAATATTTCGTAAATTACGTCAGG